ACGACACATACGAATTACCTATCGAAAGAGATGTGTTCATTCGAGGAGTTCTTGTCCTCCGTCATCAAGCCTCCATTGAATCGCGGTTCAGAAAATTAGCGAAGTCTTCCCCGGAAGCCCCTATTGGCACCGAGTTGCGTATAGGCACATGGAAATACACGAGACTTGAGATTGAAGTCTTGTACAATGCCTGGACAAGAGGGAAGATAGAGACACTGAAAAACCTCTCGAGACTCCATCGGCTCTTAATAGTAGCCTGTATCTACGCCGCAATAACGCAGTAAGTCTCTGCACCCCTCTGATCTCGGCACGAGGTTGATTATATGACAGAGGTTGGGACCAGGCTGCTATGGCGGGTAAGTCTATCGCTCGAAGTTGAGGATCGCAAGACTAATCTGATGGAAGGTGCTGCTATCGACGTCATGGCAGATCTCGGTAGACCTACAACGAACACAACATTATCTGAATCTGAAAATAGCACTGAAGCATCCAAAATCGACCTCAATCATAACCTGTGGCTTCTTGGGGTCACAGTCGGAGTTCCGTTCTTCGCTGGAGCTGTCCTAGGTTTAATCATCACCGATCCCATAGCAAGAATACTGCGTTTCGGTCGCCGCGGTGCGATCTGCGTCGCGGGCATCTTCAGCTTTATATCAGTCGTGGGATCTGCATCAATTCACAAATGGGAGCATCTGCTGGGATTTAGAATCCTGTTAGGTGCAGGCATGGCAGGGAAAGCATCAATCGTACCGATACTGCTGTCAGAGACGTCGCCGAAGAATGTTCGCGGTATCCTTCTTGTTTTCTGGCAATTGTTCGTTGCCTTTGGGCTGTTCTCTGGGTCTATCGCCAACTTGAGTGTTTATAAACTCAACACTCATGCGAGTTGGCGGTATATGTTTGTTGCAGCTTGCATACCTGCGCTGCTCTTGCTCTCATTAATTCTGTTCTCACCCGGTAAGTTCCTTTCCACTTTCCACAGCAACAATGCAGAGCTGACCTCTACAAATAGAATCTCCACGTTGGCTTTTGAAAGAGAGTGGAGCCAACGAAGGTCATGAGAATGCTGATCTCCGCAGACACAACCTTGTTCGGAAAGCTTTCCTTGCTCTTCTTGACTTGCGGGGTGAGCCAGTTCCTATACTAGTGGCTGGCGAACTTTATCTGCTGCATACGCGCTTGATCGAGGAACAACGTCGCCTTGAGAAGGACCTACCAGGAATATTCCCAGCGCCAGCTCCGCTCAACGATGCTGATCGACCTCACATCGCTCTTATCGAGCATATTAGTTGGCGATCTCGAGTGCAGTTGATGTTCTTCAAGCGTGGCTCAACGAGACGCGCACATCTAGCCGCTGCCGCTGTTATGATCTCACAACAGTTGTGCGGTATTAACCTACTAGGATTTCTCGCTGATACATTTTTTAAGTATTCTATCTTTCACAACAGCGAAAATATTTCAACGGGTCAGAAACAGGTATTACTGGGTTCATCGGTCGCCTTGATGGGTGTGAACTTTATTAGCACGATCGGTGCTTTATTCTTCATCGATCGAGGCAACGGAAGAAGAACGCTTCTCAACTGGTCGTTCCCATGTATGGCAATCTCCTTGTTGGGTTCGGCTCTCGTCCTCTCGGGGTCTCATGGCGAACTCAGCAGCGGCGTCATTGCTGGACACTATACCTTTCTCATACTCTTCATAACAGCCTACTCAGTAGGTGAGGGCCCTGCAGCTTTCGTCGTATCCGCAGAGGTATTCCCTCTTGTGAATCGGGAGCTTGGTATGAGTCTCGCCGTTTTCTGGAACTTCCTAGGCGCTGGCCTTCTGGCTGTAGTGGCGCCGGCTCTTTGGAAGGCCCTCGGCCAGCAAGGCGTCTTGCTACTTTTCGTGGGAACCAACTTGTTTGCGTGGTTCATCTGTAACTGGCTTGTGCCAAATACAGGCAACGAAGACCTAGAAGATGTCTTTGAGCAACTCGAAGTCGAAACGGGATTTCTCCTTCAGTACACGCTTAGTACTCTATTTAGAAGGGTGACCAAGCCTCTGGAATGGTGTTTGCATCTTGGATCCAAATCGTGGACCAACTGTGGGTATGGAAGGAAGCTCAGATCGCGTAGAGCCGAGTTTCTTGAGCATCAAAGGAGAAACGGTTCCACCAGACCGACTGAAGAGCACAGAAGTGAAGGTTTAGAAATGATGCAAGGACAGTAGATCGTGCCAGAGAGAGCTTCGTAGTGAAGTAAGAGCGATAGGTTCAGGATAGTGTAATTGCAGTGACCTTTTAACCTACACCATCTCAATATCCGAGGTGAGGTCCAACGTTTTAATGCAATGTACGTTCTTAGTATCCCCTGTCGGATTTGCTTTCCTGTATGAATGCATCTTCCACCTCCAACATACTAACGTTGCGACTGTGAGGGGTATTGAGATGACAAAGTAAAGCCAGAATTGATTGGAGACAAGGAGATCGTGAGAGTGGGAGTCAAAGTCCACGAGGTTCATGCCAAACATGGTCTGCAGGATGCTCAGCTTCAGGCCAACTAGCGATTGTGGTGCCAGACTTACCGCGACAAAAGAAAACGGCAGATAAAGCGACGTTACCAACGTAATAGCACGAATTGCTACGGAGTCTTCGCGTGCAGATCTCGCCATCACGAGGGTGTTCCTGCTCTGACTCTGAGCGAGCTGTTGGTGCCCTAGGTTCAATGAGTCTAGAACTGACTGTGCAGTTGACTGGCATCGCTTGTGAAGGTAAAGAGACTGAGTTTTGTACGACTGTGCCTCTTTACGGAAGTCACATACTGCCGAGTGGACTGCAGCAATCGAAACATCGTTCTTTCTGTCTGTATCCTGGAAGACGCTGCATAAGCTTTGAAGATCTACAGTTACCTCCACAAATGAGGTGAGTAGTGGCTCCAGCGGAAGTAGGCCTCTTTCGACTGTGCGGACTTGCTTCAGGGTATTGAAGCTGACATATGGTTGCTCAAACGAAGTGCACGCAGATTTCGTGTCCTGTTGCTCTGTCAGCTCGTTTCTTACAGTCATGTTCCTGTCAAAGAGTCACACACCAGTTCCAACAATAAGGTCTCGTGATATTTAAGGTAGCTCTTCCATGAGTAAAGATGAGTAGAGACCAGTATGGAATGGACCAACATTGGATTTGCTAATACTGTCGATCGCACTGCTGTCTGCTGCAAAGCTTTCTGTAAATGGCACTTGAACTGGGCCGCAGGACTTGGACTGATAATGAAGATTGTTGATTGCGCTGTTATACGATTGTGGACGTGGTATATGCCCGTGTGTCGAATACGCCAAGGGTTGCCGCGCTTAACTTTTTTTTCTTCGGCATACTTATAAATCCACCCGAATTCTGACGTTTTCATTTAGTAATGCTTCCCAATAGTCGGAAGACGGGAATCAAACTTACCTACTTTGTCGGCTGTTTCCACTAACCGCGATGAGCCTGTGAAGCCCTCCTCAGTCGGCAAATATCGATCGCGAAAACACGATAGTAAATGCAAGAATCCGACGCTGAGGCTGTACTGTTCCATGAGCAGGACGATCATGTCCGAGCTTACATTGACTGGTGCCCACGTATCCTTCTGGTGCAGAGAGCTGGCCTAATCAGCGAACCCTGATTGTGCAAGTGAGCATAGGGTGTACCTACTATATCTCCACAGAAGCTGTTTGATGCGAAGCTGTCGGTGCGCTAGTGCAAAAGTATTGTGATAACTGAGATTCGCTTGTGAAATTATGTGTTGTTGGAGTCAAACCCGTTGTCGGATCAAAGCGAGTGTACTCTATCAGGTGGTCCTCACTAGCTCTCGAGAATTGATTATCGTCATATAAGACAGCTGCTCGCACTCTTGAAGCTGACAAAGCAAGAGAACCAGCATCAATTGTATGATGGCTGGTGTGCTCAGTATTAAAAGTGTTGGTGGACATGACGCTTAACAAAGAGGAATGGAAAGGATATGGCGGCAAAATGCATGTTGCTGGTCTCGCAGTATATCTATTGTACTTCCGGGCTCGTTTACTGGAGCGGGCGAGACTAACTTCAGCCTTCTCCCCTCAAGCCCAGCCTAATTGGACGATTCATCATTGCTGACAACACGGAATCTCAGCCTTTCGCTTTGCTGCAATTTCACCCCTCATTAGCTTCACCGGCGACAAGTCACGTCCTGCAGTATGACTTACTTCCATTCTTTCTATGACACTGATCAGCCTAGTCTGAGCCTGGTTCGTATCTGCGGGACCTACCTCTGTGAGGTTTTCAGGCGCTTCAAACTTGAAATGCCCATCGTCTGTCTCGATGATGTTGAAATTTACGTGAGCGCCGAACCTCTCCTTGAGGAATTTCAGTAGTCCTTCGCGACTGTGATAGCGATCAGAGATCACAAGTTGTACCATCTTGGAAGTGCGGGCGAGACTGACACAAGGCAGATTGGTGCCTGGGCGGTGCCCTTTATACCCCGTAGATCGCCATGCAAGGAAACGTATACTTGCTGGCGCAATTCTACAGGCCAGATAGACACTTCCGTCTGACTTTCGCCTGAAGGCTGGCAGGCAGAGGGCTGTGTTTACAGCACGCGAGGCCACGGCCGGCAACTTGGATGCGGAGCTGGATGTGTGTGGCACCAGCAAGGTTCGCGCTTCCGCGGGCGCACTAAGCACGATCAGTGCGGCAGCTAGGCAGGCTGGCACTGCTGTCCACGGCGCATCACATGCTCGTTACGTGCGCAGTTGCCTGCAAGTATGTCCACTGCCCATAATCTTTCTCCGCTTGTTCATTCCAGACCCCACAGGTGGATTGCAGTAGACGCCGCTGTTCTTACCCCAGGTGTTGTATCTCCACGCGCACCATATGGACGCCTGACGACTGCCAGATCGCACCGTACACTCAAAGGCCCGAGGTCAACATCGACGTCATCGCTTCTCACGATTACTCTAACGCTTAGCAGACGTGGATTTGACACTTCTCCGATGTCTGTCCGGACTCAATGAGCGCGCGCCGAACCTCCTCGACTCCGCCCACAAGTTTCACCTCTATCCGCGAAACCGCTGTACAGGAGCTTACTCGACGCATTTGTAAAGCTATTGACGACACAACAGCTGGGTTTGATAACGAGCCCGATGCGAAGAACGCACATTGTTTCCTACCAAGAACCGATTTGGCGAATATACTTGATCGATATGCTCTGCATCAGTTAATTAAAGAGCTGATTAGTGCACGGGCGAGTTCTGGTCCTACTTCTACGGATGAAGAAAGCGACGGCAACGGCGATCCGCCTACAAACCCGGACAGAATTGTTCATGACTACGTACAAAGAACGATCAGCCATCCTCCCAGACTAGCTTTGCTTGCGCTGTTTCTATACGATGGACGCCCATCTCTACACGCGCTTTTCTTGAAATGGCTCGAGCTGCCAGATTTTCCATCCAACCTTGATCTGCCTTTGGATGATGACACCTTGAGAGCGAACGAATTTCCTGATGATTGTTTTCGATCTATTCGCAATAACCAAAACATATTCAGGCCTGTCTTGATTCGGGAGAATCTACATCAGGACTTCAGAGACTGGGATCGATTGCCCTACATTGGCAAGCCGGAGCCGATCAAAGATGGTTCTTCTGGCTCTGTGTATAGTGTAAAAATAGCAAAGGGACATTGGGAGATCAATCGTGATGGTCAGTACATACCCGGAAACCCGCACGAGCCGTATCCCGTGGCAATCAAAGTGTTTAGGGAAGTCCCTGGGGGGCGCAGTAGAGAAGAGGCTACCGAGGATTTCCGAGTTGAGCGTAAAATTCTGGATCAGATCCGCGTTTCGAAAATCAAGCACGAGATGGTTATGCTGGATTTAGGAAGCATCACTATACTTGACGGAGCGAACCAAAAGGTCAGCCACTCACTTATGTTCAAACTTGCAACGTTTAGTCTCGCAGAGTTTCTCAAAGACGAACGTCGACATGCAAAATATAGCACAAGGAGCGTTTTGTTCTCAAAGCTAGTTGACATTTCGGAGGCACTGGGATACCTACATCATCATCTCAAGATTCTCCATCTTGATATCAAGCCCGATAACATTCTAGTGTTCGAGAAAGGAACAAGCCGCCAAGACAACGAAGACGGAGCTGGAGACGAGTTAGTGTGGAAGCTCAGTGATTTTGGGCTTGCGCGCAACAAGACCGACAAGGCGAGAACGGGCCTACGCGGGCGCGATTCAAACAGTCACGAGTCCAGATCATCAGATGTTTCGGCAGTGAGGCATGCGGGCCTTTACCAAGCGCCTGAAGTTCAAGAACGAGAAAATAGTGGAGTAGGACGGCGAAGTGATGTCTGGTCTATGGGATGTGTCACGCTGATGGTGTTGGCTTTTGTGACCGGCGGAGTCACTGAAGTGGAAAACCTCTGGAACAGACTAACGGTCGATTTTCAACAGCAGGGTGGAAGACAACGCTTGTTCTACTACAGAAGTGACTCGTATCTGTGGGAAGAAGGAAGGGCCTTCAGATACAAATATATGCTAGACTTCAACCCCGACATCGGAGACATTCCCGGCACGAGTGGACCACTACAAGCTGCTGTTAATCCGCTCGTCATCTCATGGTCAAACATGTTGTACGATTCCTATGCCCACTCTGCAGAGAAAACTCTCGTACGGGACATACTCGGAGTGATCTTCCGTCGCGTCCTTCTCATTGATCGCTTCCGAAGGATTCAGGCAATTCCCCTAGCCGGTGAAATGGCCGACTTCCATGATAGATGGAGACTACTCGAGCAAGATATGGAACACTCGGACGAAACTAGAAATGCTTCATATCCGACGGACGCCGGCAACCTCGACGTGGTGTTGAGAGGGGCCCCAGAACTTCATGAGGAAGAGGAAGAGGAGCAGGAAGAAGAGATTGTTGATTCATTGGATCAGCCTACTGGGCCACTTCTAGAGACACCGATTATACATTCAAATCTCTGTCGCGCGATCGTAAGCGATGACGACAGTGCTGTACTCAACGAATTGGACGGAGATAACGGCATACGACTGTTGAAGAACAAATGTGAGTCCTGCGGCATATATCCTATCCATAAGGCTCTCCGCAACGGGGCTTATAAGTCCCTAAAGATATTGGTCAGGAAGTCTGACCGAGCTGTCGCCGAACTTGCCTGCCTAGAAAGCGGCGATCAAACTGCAGTCGAGCTAGCAAGCCAAGGTTCCGGTGATAGTAAGGCACTCGAAATATTTCTGAACCATCACGCCATCTTCAGTGTGACAAAAGAGTTTTTCGACGAGCGCAAACGATATCTAAACGATCAGTCAAGGGCGTCTCTGAAGGAAATGTGGAAGAGGTCGCAAACACAGTCTGGAAGACGTGGTGTCTTTGGGAGACGGAGATAGTAATACGCCACTATGGGTTGATGTAGCGTATATGGAAGAGTCAGAATTTCTATTTTCATGTTGCCACTGCTCGCTTTCGACTACCATTAGCCTCTAGGTTGTTAGAGAGACTGTATTTAGGAATGACCTTGGGCTGCGCAACATGTCATGACATATCTCATGACCAGCTAAAGGATATTTCAAGAACAATTACATTAACATTAATACACATAAAAGCTTCGCCTAAGCCCTCTACGTTTGCGCATTCAACCGTGCAGTCTCTGCTATACTGACACCCAAGCCATGTGCTTGCTGCTTCGTCGTGTCGTGAGCGAATGCACCCTGTACTACTTCTGGAGTGTTCTGTGGTGACTCAAGCTCCCGTGCCTCTGGACTTCCAGGAAGCTCAGCAGGCTTGTTGGCAGATGGCGAGTAAAGCTCAGCTCTTGTCATGTCTCCTCCCAACTCCTGACGGCCTGTGTGGTAATGTGCCCATTTCTGTTGTGAGTTTTGGCCGGAATGGTCCCAAGAATATGTCGGAGGTGCTACGTATAGTCAGTGAAGAGACAATCAAGGTCACTTATAAATACACACGTGAGAAACCTGAAGGTGTAGTAGGCGATGCGAGTTCTGCCTTGGGTATCACCAAGGTGTTTGCCGCCTCCGTCTCGGTACTCTTTTTCTTTTGGTTGCGCCGCCGACGCCACAAGAAGAATATGATCGCGACGATGATAATCAGGAAAGCGAGTGAGCCTCCTACAGCGCCTCCGATGACTGCACTAGATGTTCCACTGGGACTGGCGGCAGCTGTGATCTTAGACGTGTCACTAGGCGCTGAAGATATACTACTGGCGGTCGAAAATGCTGTAGGTGCAGGGACAGAGGACGAGAGTGCAACGTTGAGGTCATGGAAGTAGTGGTACTGGTCAGGTCGATCCCAAAATGACGGCTCAAGTTCTCCTTCAGGACATGTCGAATTGTTTATGCACGGATCCTCATTGCAACATCCCCAAAATGTTGGCGCCATGTTACAAGTCCACATGGGTGTGTTACCACCACATGATCCGCCGGGTGATAGGTTGTACAGTGATGAAGAGCGACCCGCCGGTCGTAGCATGTCACCAAAGCAGCCATGCACGCACGGATCCGACATACAGCACCCGAGAAACTTTGTTCCCGTCTCACACGCATACCTGGTGATGGTCAGAATTAAACTTTGTAGCACTGTCCAAATTCGCTTTATTCGTTGAAATCATTCCGTTCTGGTGACTTTTTCGACATACCAAGTACCTCCACTGGGACAAAAGAAGTCTCCTGGCTTAGCTGCTGTATAAGTAGGATCTGCCATGACAGGAAAACTTTCTGAAATGGAAGACTGACAACCTTAGAAGAAGTCAAGGATACGGAGAACAATGTAACATGGAAGTGGGCTGAGGAATGTAGAAATGCGAGATGCACCTCAGACACCCAGCATACTTAACAGCTTATGATTGCAGCTCCAAGAAAGCCAAGTGCTTGCGGCTTAAGATAACATAATTCCGTCGTTGTTGTAAGGGATCCCGTGATGGTTGTGGCGAAGATGCCTTTATCGATTCCAGTGAAGGGCCCCCAAAAGGCCGGCAATGGAACCCGAATTGGGGTAGTGGCCGCCGTGGCTGCGAGGGTGGAGTTGGGTGAGAAGCTTGAGGAAATCTGTTTATACGCCCTGCGTGAATGAAGAGGGAACAGCGCGCAAATCGAGCCTATGAAACGTCCCACGGCTGACGAAAACAGGAAAGCTAGGGCCACTAGGTTAGATTTTGGTGAAGGCTAAACGCTAAGATGGACTGTAGTGAAACTTCCAGAGCGCGGTGGTCGTATAAGCTGCTTGGTGAAGTCACCGGTTGTATGTGTGGGGTCTGTAAATAGCAGCGATGAGTTGTTCACACTAGTTGTGAGCAGAGGTCTGGATACTCGATGGTGTGAGTGCACCAGCTTACTCCGCCAAGGATATATCCTCCCTAAGGGATGCAAGCCATGCAAGACATGCGTATCTATTGTGCAAGTTTTGATTCGTACGATTTTGTCAAATTGGTACGATATCGACGGTGTCAAGACACGCGTAGCTATGCAAGGGCTCCCTTAACGGCAGACCGTTTGCGTTTATCTCAAAGTGTGGGGTTCGAGGAGGCGAGCGACAGAATGCAGGATGCGAAAGAGGCTGGGTAGGTTAGCATGCCCAGCCTTAAACGCAATTAATGGGCTAGTCGGACGCTCCTACCGATCGATGCAACTGTAGCCAAGGAGAATGATGTCGCCACTTTGTGGTAATGATGCAGTAACAGCTGTCGCTGACAAGAAGTATGCTCGTTACGGGGTTTCTTTGTTTCTTTGTTCAATTCACACTTAGATCCAGCCGCGTTGTGCGCTTCTCAAGATACGGCCGTCCATCTGCCCTGCGAAGAGTGGCCTTGCTAGCGACTGTCTCGCACAACTGCTGCGTCATGGCAGCGTGCTGCGTTCGCTCCTGCCGATCAGGCAATACCTAAGTGACGTGGTTGCCGCTGTCTCTAGATGCCTTGCAACGGGCACATACGACCCCAGATCTACGGCCAGCTAGCACTGGTCTGAACTACTGGGGGGTCTATCGAAATATTGTGTTTGCCTGAGTACAGATGCGCATTGAGGCGATAGACCGTGGCTGCCCCGATCAGGTAGTTTCCAAAAGCGAAGATGGTAGCAAGGCCACTGACGACAGCAATCTGGACTAGGATCAGCAGACAGAACAAGACGATATCTCTTCGCACGTATCTCTGAGTTACCTTCATATCAGGGCCCCATGCGGATGACGCGGCGGCACGAGCGTATATCAAGATCAAGAGACCGATCAGCAGGTACCATATACTGAATGAGAGCAGCATGATTGGCATTTGCCAAACGTAAAGATGGTGGCTTTGGATAGCCTTGTCTCCCCTAAGCAAGGCTTGGAAGACTCGCAGACGCTCTCCGCGGATACGAGACAAAGTCACGTATTGCTGTGTTCCACTGCTAACAGCAATCATGGCTGTGATTAGAGATGCGTATAGTGCAGCTTGAGTCGTCCATGGGGCCGATTCAATGACTGGCCATGAGAAGGCACTGCTCCCAACGCCGGCGAGTAGGACACCCTACGCAATCATGTCAGCCTCAAGACCGATCCAGCTTGAGTTACTAGATATCCTACAGTGACGTTTACCGAGATCAACTCGGCCTTTTTCTCTTCTATCCACTCGGCGCCCGTCGTTTCCTGCAGTGACGCCACGTTCGCGTGCCATGGCAGGAAGCGTCGGGAATGGCTGATTACATCTGCGAACGACACTGTCGGCTTGGGCATCCTGGTAAAATAGTCCGGGTAGGGTCGGCTGTTTTGAGTACCTATGTAGAAAGACCTCAGCAACAACACCTTCGTCGCCTAGATATTCAGGCGAGCAAGCAATACATGATTGCAGCCTCGTCAACGCCATGCGGATTAGCTTTCCCGTGTTATACCCTGTCATTCGCTGCCTCATACGTATCTGCTGCAGCCGCCACCAAACAAGACGATGCAGCGGTCATCGCCTCGACAGCCGCCGTTAATTGGCTGAATGGATGCAAGAGCGCACGAGGCTGCGCAACTAGGAATAGGCAGGAAGGGACTTTGACAGTGACCGGCAAAGCTGACAGCGCTGTCGGTCGAGAAGCGTTGCCTCGATAAGCCTCTAGCAGGTGGGGCAAAAAGGTATCAGCGATGCAAAAAACCAAAAAGATACTGTCAGCCAGTGCCAAAAGAAGGCAAAAAGATAATGTCAGCGGTGGGATTCGAACCCACGCAGGTTGCCCTATGAGAAACCTCTTGAGAGTGCGTCTTCCGAAGAAGACAAGCTTTCGCTTGAGTCACACGCCATAACCACTGGTGGTTGTTAGATGGGAAGATGTCAGGAGCTTGGAGAAATGCTTACCTCGGCCACGCTGACTGATTTGATGAAAAATTCTGATGTGGTTACGTTTATATAGTAATTTGAGACATGAAAATCAGCCGCGTGTGGGGTCAAGGTCTTGGGTCATATGCAAGCTCCGCAACAACCCCACCATAGAATGAGTCGGACTACTTCCTGCAATACAGAGCGCCTGAACACGCCCCTAAGACACAGATTGAGTGCCCTATCGCGTGTCTTGGGCGCTTGTAAGCACAGGTAAAGCTCAGAATGATTGATATGACTTCGAGAATTCCGCATTCCTCGGAACTTGCGTGCCCCGCATCTGTACATGTATTCGGTAGCACTTCTTACAAGCTCCTTACTAAGAGCACTCTATCCATGAAAAATTGACTTTCTGATCTTTGCAATACCTTTATCATGGGCAATGCAGAACCTCAACAAGCCGTCGCTCTTCCTACGGCCTGAATTGCAGACGTTTTCGTCAATATGCGACTTCTTTGACATCAACCAAATAACTGCCCCTCTCCCAGAACTTCACGCTTTGAATTTTCTACCATGACGAACAAAGAACTGCTACAGGATCTGGCCGTATACCTGCAATTGAGAGACGGAGAGGTGCCATTGGCAAGAATGCTGACTAGGCAACATTCGAGTCTTGGTTCGAACAGTTTTACCATCGTCCCCTCGAGATCGTTCTACAGCACGCTTGGTGGCGCAAAGCTCCACATGCGATACCGGTGTGAACGGGTGACGCTTAGCACCTGGGCAATGTCGATGCCTATCCAGCTACTTATCGCTTGCCGTGATACGACTTCGGGACCGAATTACGAGACAATCCCCTCATCGGCTTCCCCGCATCACCATACCTGATTGATATCTGATTCCACGAACTTGTAGCAAACGTGAGCTAAACAGTAATCCGGTAACAAACCGAGGTAAAATGTAGTGTCATTGCAGCAACTCTACACAGTCGAGGGTGAAGACACCAATCCAAGAGCGCTCGGGCGGGCTTTCGCCGGAGCTTCTCGAAATTGGCATTGCGAACATCGGTGATTAGTCTGATTAAGAGCTCTGAACTTCGAACGT